TCAAACTATGAGCAAAGACAGTGACTCCTCACGTTTAACGATCTTTACGTAGACGAGGACAACAAAAGACAATTGTCACTGTTTTCACTCTACTGGCTACGCTACGTTAATGGTTTACTCGCACCATATGGTCTTTCGCTCGTCACAAGACCATTAGCATAGACAACGCTGCAATTTTCTCGTGAGAATACCTTGAATAGTTTTATATTGCAGTCGCTCTTTCTTAAATGAATGGCAAAAATTTAGAAAGAGAGTGCATGGCTGCTAAAGATAGTTGATCGTAATGGGCTGGATTGAATGAATAAAGAAGAACATACGGCACAAAGACGGGGCCATTGTAGACAGCTCAGCAACTGATTTAAAGTAAAAGCTGAAGACTTTACTTGTGAACATTATCAAACTTAAAATGTAAGTAATACAATAAAAAAAAACATTTTTATCAAAATAAATAAATATTAAGTGAATAAATAAACAATGGTTTAAATAAATTTATTATTAAACTCTCAGTTTATAATTCAAGAATAATCCGTAATATGAATTGAATTTTTCGGCTGCCAAACAAACAATCATAGTTTAATTTATAATTTTCAAATGATATTTCTTTCCTTTACTGATAAAATTACTGATATAATTTCGCCCTATCGTTTCTTGAAATACCTACTTTATAATAACAACTTCACTTATTTATTTTTTGCACTTTTATTTTTCTTTTCTTTTCTTTACCAACCATTTTTAAACTATGAAAAGTATCCCTTCTTTCGGGTAAGGCTACAATGTAGTTTTGGATGTCTATGTATTTTTTTGATTTTCCATAAAGTCCATCCATTTTAGGCTCGATTTCCGCCGTCTCTCGGGTCCGGTCTTTGATCCTGCCCGAATGAGTGAGGGCTCATTTTCCCCAACAGCGGTTGGTAATCGAGCCTACATCTATTTGAGCTGAACGCCTACATTCGAAGGTAGGCGTGTTCAACTATGTCACGATTATCAGGAGTTTTCATCTATTGGCTGGGTTGGAATATTAATTTCTTTTTGACGCAACGAAGAATAGACCTATTCGGCTAACTCAATGTTGTACCCAATTCAAACCGTTTGGGAATAAAACGTTTTGTTTCAAGAATTTCCACATCATTTAAATGTGAATGCCACATTATAATGCAAATACAGTACACAAAGAATCTTAACCCCGGGAGATTTAAATTGGGTACAACACTGAGTTAGCCGAAAAGGTCTATGCAACATTCCGAATACGTAACGTAAAAAAGATCATTAACAACAAACCCGCAAAAAGCATTAGACTCATATTTAGCCCGATACAAATTAACTAATGAATTTTCACTGTTTGAGCCGCAAAGTGCCTCGCTTTCCAAGTTCAAGTTTGACCCAAAGGGGAGTGAAAAAAGTTCAACTTGGCGAAGAGTAAGAGTCAATTACGAGCCGTCTTCCACTGTAGTAGAAACTATCTCACCCAAAAGCAAACACTGCAGTTGCAATATTTGTGCTGGTATTTTGTCATTCTTAAGTAAAATGGGTAGGAAAGAAAAAGGCTTAACACTTTTTTGATAATCTAGTAATAACATATACACCTAAAGGAAATACCCAGGAAAATCGCTTACCTTGTTTGCCGCCTATCAGTTTAAGCGATGGCCGGCACAAACGTCTCAGTTTTTGCCAGTGCTTAAATAAACATGCTTTTTGCATGGCATATTGAAAATATATCAAGCCAATTTGCCAAGCAGGTGAAAGTTATAACACGTGATTCATATATTTGCAAATTTATTACTCAGTTCTGTTTGCTGGCAATTTATTTCATGACATTTAACAGTTAATTTGCTCCAAATATCTAGAAAATACAAAATACTTTTCTGCTTTGTTTAAATGCGAATGAAATGGTAACTGATTTTACATTGGAAACTTTAGTCTCACAGGCCCCTTTTTGGTAAAATGTACACAAAGTGTATGCAGGACATGGAAAAAGATAATAACATGTGTAAAACATATTTTATAACGGCAAAGTAAAAAAGACTTAATTTCCTTAAAATTCAATACATCGGTGTGTCGTCATTTTCTCTATGGCGTCAATTGCCTACACTTTGAGAATTTCATTCCTTTCTCGTCAGTAAGGTTAAGTCACAAAATTCCTAATTCACACACGAGACAGGCAAAATCGACCGAAAAGAGTGACGCGTTTGGTCTATTCTTGCGTCCCAATTTACTGTGGACTTTGATACCCTACTGCAAGCGCAATAATGACCAATCAAACAAAAACAACGTGGGGAGTTTTAAATTTCCCACTTTTATAACTTGGACATGAAGTAAAATGTGTCTAAGCACCTTCCGGCTGTCAGGGTTAAAGAGGCTATGCCACAGCTGTCTAGATCATTTTGCTGATAAAGCCAATTACGCTTTCTTATGCGCTACGGACATCAACGTTCAGGAAGAAAACGACAAAATAACAGCTTCCTGTCCAACAAATATACTTCCCAAGCTATTATACAAAACGTTACAAACACCAAAAGTGAACTTTGAAAAACTATTAGGTTAACAAGTCAACTGACAAGTTTTCAAAAACTCACAATGTCTACCCGTTTTTGTCCATTCGGGCCTTCTTCTTGCTGTGTTATTAATACCTTCTTTAAATGTTTTGAGCGATTATTTTTTTGTTTGTCAATTTGGTGGCGGTTCCTACTGTTTGAATATTGATAAAAGTCGTGACACAGCTCCTTTAATGGCAAGGTGGTCGCTTTAAAAGGATGTTAATAATACTGATAATAATGATAAATATAAAACTTATATTGCGCATATACAATAGAAATATTTTTCATATGCGCATAACAGATGATAAGATAAAATAAGTCGAATTAAAAGCTATCATAAAAATGTAAGTCGATTAAATTATATGTTAAAAAATAATAATAAAATAAAATAAAAACAGACAAAAACTAAAAACTTAAAAATAAATGAATAAGTCAATTAAAAAGCTATCTTAAAAAAGTGCGTTTTGAGAGCACACTTAAAAGATGTGAGGCTCTGAATGTTTCTGATCTCCGAAGGAAGACTGTTCCACAGTTTGGGAGCAGCCGACTGAAAGGCTCGGTCACCAAGTGTGGGTAGGCACCGTGCGTTGGCTGGTACCAACAAAGCTGCATTTCTTGACCTACGATTGTATCTTGACTGGGCAGCGACAGCAATAAGATCAACCAGATGTTGTGGTGCAAGTCCGTAGAGGCACTTGAATGTTAATAACACAATTTTAAATTCAATTCTGTGTTTGATGGGCAACCAGTGAAGATCTTTTAAAATGGGAGTGATATGACAGATACGAGGAGTGTTAGTTACAAGTATGGCAGCAGCATTTTGAACTTTTTGAAGTTTATTAATGTGAACAGTAGAAAGGCCAATTATAGGCTGTTGTAGTAGTCCAATTTACTGGTAATAAACGCATGGATAAGGGATAAAGCGGTTTGTTGAGACAAATACTTTCTGATCCTACGTATATTGTAGATATAGTAAAAAGACGAACTGCAGATATTATTGACATGGCTAAGCATGTCAAGATTAAAGTCAAACCATGATCCCAAGCTATTAACTTTTGTTGAAGGACCAATTCGAGATTCACCAACAACAAGGTGTGAAATAATTACTTTCTCACGTTGCTGTCTTGTTCCAAGGATAAGAAATTCTGTTTTGTCAGGATTAAGTTTTAATCTATCCATCATCATCCAGCTCTGTACATCAGGGATACAGGATTGTATAGATGACACAGCAGCAGTTACGTTGGCGTAATCACCAGGATTAAAGCCCAAATATAACTGACTATCATCAGCATAGGCATGTACGTTCGGCAAGTGTTTATTAACAATATTGAACAGCTTACTGGAATAAATGACGAATAACAAAGCACCTAAACAACTGCCTTGGGGGACCCCAAAATCGATACCAAACCGGTCTGACAATACACCATGTACTGTAACTTTCTGAGAGCGATTTGATAAGTACGAGGCGAACCAGTCTAGGACTTTTCCAGACGTATGACGATCTTTACGTAGACACCGGGGAAAACAAAAAGAAAATTTTCAAAGTATTTATCCCAATGGTAGCCTCCCACACAGGTGTTTTTAGGGAAGCTCGTCTTTCATCCCACCCCACAAACGCCCGTTTGTGGGGTGGGATGAAAGAATACCATGTATAGTCTTACATTGCAGGCGCTCTTTCTGACAAATGAATGGCAACAATTTAGAAAGAGAGTACATGGCTGCTAAAGAGGGATGATCGCAATGGACTGGATTTAATGAATAAAGAAGAAAATACGGCATAAAGACGGGGCCATTGTAGACAGCTGTGTATTGTATCTCGAGCAACTGATATAAAGTAAAAACTGAAGACTTTACTTGTGAACATTATCAAAATTAAAGTGTAATTCGTACAGTAAAAAAAAATTCTTTTTTTTTTCAAAAAAAGTGAATAAATAAACATTGATTTTAATAATTTTATTATTAAGCTCTGTTATAATACAAGCAAAGAGTGTGCAACTTTCAAGAACAATCGTATTATGACTGGAATTTTTCGGCGGCCAAACATAAACAACGGTTTAATTAAAAATTTTCAAAGAACATTTCTTTACTATTACTGATTAAACTACTGAAATAACCCCCCTTTCTTTTCTTAAAGCACTTTGCCTTTTTTTCCATTTCTATTTGTTTTCCTTTTCTTTAACAACCATTTTTAAACTATGTAAAATATTCTCCTCTTTCGGGTAAGGCTACAATTGTAGCTTTGGATGTCTGTGTTTTTTCCTGATGTTCTATCCACTTGAGCTGAAGGTAGACGTATTCAACTATCAAGAATATGAAGTTTTCATCTGTTAGCTGGGTTAAAATATTAACACTCCTCTACTAGGCAACAAAGCTTGCAACATTCCGCATAAAGGAATCATTTACAACAGACCCGCAACGCGCCAGCAAGGCTCACATCTAGTCCGATACAAATTGACTAATAAATTTTCACTGTTCAATCCCCAAAGTACCTCGCTTTCCAACTTGCCCTGGTCTTTTGAACTCTCTTCTAACACTGGCTGGGATGGAACTGGGGAGGGGAGAGAGGGGCGGTGGCTCAGGGATGCTGTCCAATAACTTCCGCTTCGCTTGCCTCGACTTGGCGTTTGATGTGGTGTTGGTAACAGACAAAGATAAAGGCTCTGTGAATCTTGGTTGCCGAAAATGAGCTAAGGAACTTTCTTCAGCATTGGCACTTGAGCAATTTTCCTGGAGGGAGATTCTGGGTAAGTAATTTTGGAGGTAGTTTGATATACCCTGATAAAAACTGGACTAGGGATATTTAATTTCCTCATTTTGATTCACTCAACGCAACAGAGTTTTAAACTCGTCGAAGAGAGAGCTATAACTTTGAGGTGTTTACATTTATTCACGATCGTGAAGCCACTCGTCAAAATATAATTGCAGCCTATTTAGCCGACAAAGACCAGCTTGAGTCATTTAACCGACAAAGATCATCTTCAAGTCACTAGCTTTACAGGCTGGAAATCCAGTTGTATATCTCAAGCTTCTGTTCTTGTACAGCCCAACCAGTATCGCGACATCAAACAACATGGCAGGCATAGCTCTATAGCATTCTGTACATGGCGACCACGGGAATCATTTTCCGCCACAGTTTTACTTCACCAAGTGAACATCCAGATTCACAACAACTTCGGTGATTTTTACCACCGTTTTCGTTGATACGCGACTTTCGAAAACAAAACACCCGCGGAAACGTTTCCAAAATTTCCATCAATCATGCATGTTATCGACAGATCGGATCGAAATCCACCAATCACAACCACTAGTGTGACCTTCTGACCTTCTTTACGTCATGCTAGAGGGCTGTGATTGGTGGATTTCGATCCGATCTGTCGATAACATGCATGATTGACGGAAATTTTGGAAACGTTTCCGCGGGTGTTTTGTTTTCGAAAGTCGCGTATCAACGAAAACGGTGGTAACTAGTGTTTAAATTCTTTTTTTAAACAACATGGGCGGTGTCTTTAGTTGTCGAGCAGTGTAAATTCCTAGTATATTGATCTTTATACAGAAGGTATGATAACACAAATGTGGCCTTTTAACATGCCAGCGTGATTATGCTTTTACTAAAACGATTACTTTACTCGCGCTTATGAGCATAAAATGGTGATATTGTGCAGCGCACCCTTGTAGAATAATATTTGTATTTAACTAAGTTCAGAACGATAACAGATTCTAAGCCGGTTACGAGCATAATGGTGAGCCTAACATGTTTTGTTGTAAAACGGTAAAACATATCGTCATTTGCAAGTTACACTTTTTTTCTGACGTTAATATTGCTAAGTTCTGATTGTACTTTTTTGTTAATCCCCATTTTTTTTTCCTGCTTCAACTGCTCGTAAAATGGCCTCTGCTAGGACATGTCGAGGAAAGTCAGTCCACCTAATTGCAAAAAAAAGGCCCTGTATCGTAATTCAGGATTTAGAATTGACACCGGCATCGAGTCCGAAGTTCTGGCTATATTATCAACTTACTAGCACTTTTTTCTTCAGAGAATCAAAGCATAAGAAAAAGAAATTTCAAAGGTAAGTTTACTGTAAAATACTTACGAAGTGCTTACCTTTTTGTTATGATGTGACGTATTGAAGGCATCAGAGGGTTTCCTCGTCGCATGGTTTGCTGGCTCCATCTCGGAAGAACACATTTGTGTTGCTTGTGGATACATGCGCACGGTAGTAACTTGTACATCCGCTGAAGGAGAGATGCGTTGCGGGAGTAAGATAGTCGATAACGTCCCCTGAACATTGGCCATGAAGATATTTAAATCCTAAAACGGTGGAAAAAATAGTAGATTAAGCCTTCAAGTCCCAAGAGTGACCAACATCTTTTAAGGAAATGTATGGAGATCAGACTGGAGAATTTGCACGTGGACATTACGGTTTAGAGAGTTAAGGTATCTCTCTCCTTGAGCAACTTACTGAAGAAAAACATTGTAGGGGGAGGGGCGGGTAGAGAGGTACGGGGCAGCTGAACGATATGGCCTCTACAACACGTAACTTGCTTAATGATTTCCTACAGCTTCTGAATGTATATTATTTTGTATTCATTCATTTTCAATTGCAGAGCATAAGTTAATGCAATGCAATGGTTAAGCCAGGCTGAAATTGATGGAGAGTGAAGTTCCATAAACTGTGGAAAATAGGAATAATGTACTGACCGGTATCTTATGCTGTAGACTGCCCAATGCAGCACGCAAGTGCGGTTCTCGTGGTTTAAGAGTTAGGCACGACAGTTCACCAAATGACAAGGATGGGCATTGAAGCCGATCATCTGGTCTGACCGTTAGGTTGCTGAAACAGATGAAGTTGCGAGGCTTCACGAGATCGTCAACAGCCACCACCTGTGGAAAAATTACACCATGGTATAAGCGAGAAGACTCTGAGCATTTTTTATTTATTTATTTATTTATTTATACCTCAAGCGGGAACCTTTTTTTGTGGGAAGGACATAAGGTGTGTGGGGAGGGGTGGGAGGAGGGGGAGGTGGGCTTTAAGAGAGGCTGACTTCAATTGCCCCCATACATAATTATGCCAAAAGAACGGTAGTTTACAACTACTTAGTTTATTTTCGCTCAAGAGAAGTTATTTAACCATATATTTTTTTTACGTCTACGGAATTTCGACAAAGCTTAAAGCTACGAAGTAAATAAAGCGAGAATCGTGATTGCAGTAAAGAAAAAAATAAACTTTAACGATTACACTCTTTCTACTGCAGCTTTTAAAACACAGCACCACATGAGGGAACTGTAAGTCAATACCTTAAGTCCTCCCCAGAACTTTATTGCCGCTAAATTCATCTCATCGTCGGATATATACACGGTCTGTACACTAGAATAAAACACAAAAACAAAACCGGTAAAAACTTCAAGTGGAAGTGGTGTTCATGGTCGAGTAGTTCCATCATATTTACTCCTGTTTTTTTCTAGGTTTTTTTTTTTGCCAAGTGCAAAACCTACAAGTTGTCATAGCATTAGTCCCCGTTGTCGTTGTTTTTTAATGACTCGATTCAGGAAATTATAGTAACCACGTCGGCTACAATGCAAGTAAGCGTATCTCTATGCCATTTTTTTAGTTCTCTGCAGGGTGACTTTCGTTGCTCTATCTTGCCCTAATTAAAGCAGGTGGACCAATTTTCCAAAGAACATGAATTAGCTAACACGCCGTCACAGCATGGCCTCTTTACTTTACTTGAAAAACTCATTAATTATACATAAAGAAAAAAACAAAAGAAATTAATGTTTAATGAGTGTCTTTATATCTGATAAAGACACGGCTAAACTATAGTTCCAGTTTTTTAGACCAAAATAGCGCAGGTCTAAATATTAGAGCAAGAATAAGTTTACCTATATCAGAGATTTTAAATCCGTTTAAAAAGCTTGGAGTTGTGTATTATCAGGCGTAAAAACTCTCGGCTCTGTCTCGACTTTTTAAACCTAATAATACACGCCTTATAATGTTCGTTTTTTTAACGGTACTTCCCGGATAATTTTACTTACATTTGTTTAATAGTGTCAAATTAAATGCAACATTATTTCTAATGATGATGATTATTATAACGACGACCACGATGATGGTGATGATGAAAATGACTATGGCGATGATGACGAGGACGACAACGACGATGATGTTGCTGATAATGATAACATACTCTTAAAGAGATGACCAAGGACTACTTTGTATCCGCGATTGCCTGCATACCTTGAGTTGGAAAAACAAGAAAGGGGAGTACAGAAAACAACCACTCCAACAATATCCACTTCTGAACACAGCTGGGACGAACCACAACGCAGCTGATCAAAAGAACAGGCCTGCAAGGAAAACGATGACAACCGGTCAACTCTCTATAAGCCTGACACTCCTCTAAGGTCCCTTCCACACGTATCTGGGTATTTTTTAATCCGCAAATTTTTCTTTCCGGATTTAAAAATTTCCACGTCCACACACAGCGTATTCAAATTGAACTTTCTCGTCCACAAGTATGCGGATTCACTCTCATTTCGTCAGCTGGTTTGAAAAGTGATCTTCGGCTAATGCGAAACTGTTCTCACCATTCTTCCGCAAAAAAAAAAAAAACGTTTTGGCTGACAAAACTGTCCCATCAAGCATTAGTTTGCTCCTTCAAGTTCTTTATTGGCATCCAATTCGTCCATCCGACATCGAAAGAAGCCTGAGAATGTCCGCGCCACCGCATGGCAAAATTGAAGTGTACAGTGATAATAGCTAAGTTTAACTGCACACAAGTTATAAGACTTGACACTGAAGTTTAAGAAGTAAAGAAGCGAAAACATTGCGCTCCGCACCATCTTGAATATTCACGGTAAAAAACCTGCCTCGATCTTGTTACGTCACTGGATGAAAAAAAATATCCGGAGTAACCGTCCACCCGATTCCTGATTCATGGCTTATTCAAAAATTTCCACTCTGGAGAGCGGATTCAAAAATTTGCGAATTCGTATGCCGGATTCACCGGATAGAAAGCCGAAAAAGTTGCAGATTCAAAAATATCCGGATACGTGAGGAGGACGCCTAAAGTGAACAGGGATGGCTGGTCGCTGGTTGATTTAACCCTTTTAACCCTAATATTAAAATTGTTATTCTCATTTGTTGTCCTTATATGTTTTCAATAAAAGTAGTGGGGAGAATTTGTTGAAGTATCAATTAGACTCATCTCCCCTGATCATGTACTCAATTCTCATGACCACTCTGTTTTCTAAAGCATTGATATTATAAGGAGAAATTTCATACTGATGACTCTTTGGCCTTAAAGGGTTAAAGGCAAGATCAACTTTAAAAAAACGACCCGTCCACTAGTTTGCCCAGGCAAAATAAAGAGTTCATACCTGGCGGGCGAAGTAACTAGTGGTCACATTCGCGTCAGTGGGTAGTGCTTCATATCTGGTCGTCCTAGATGCAGTCAACTTGAATGAATCATATCCAATATTAGTACCGTTTTATAACCGCTTTTGAATCAAAATAACACAAAAATTGATGGAATCAAATGACCGGCGCTAAAGGTTCCCCGACTCCCCCGTCTAACCCTCATTCACAAAAAAAAAAACAATTTAGAATAACAAAAAGGAAAAATAGAGAACGAAAAATCTTAACTCTATAATACGAAGAGAGGTTTGCATTTCTAATAACAGAGGTTTAAGAAAAGAAATTGAGAATAAAAATTGGCTATAGCAATGAATGACGTTTCAATGACTCCATGTCATCATTTTCAAATTGTTGTATTTTTTAGTTCCTTGAGTTCATTACATAGGGAGTTGCCTGCGAAAGTTTAGTTGCATGTGATTAAAAGAGAAAAATGCAATGTGAAGTGTAAAAGGTACTGATTATTAAAAAGAAACCTAAACTGAACTGACTCTTTCCTAGCAAAACCATTTGCCTGATAATTAGCACCTTTTACCCTTCATATTGTACATCACTAGCTTTACATTTCAAACCAAAACACAAGTATATACAATGACGTTTTCGATTTCTACAAAGTCATGTTATCAGTACTACGATATCTTAAATAGACTATCAAGTTTATTTTAGTCTTCGGAAAGTTAGGCCAACTATGAATACTTGAGGATTTTTCTGCAGCCACGTCTACTGTTTTTCGACTGTCGACGTACCTGTAATTCCTGGGCACCTAGTCGACACCTGAGAAGAGAGGGTACGTGACAATTTATGGAGTTACATAACTTATTATGAGTATGCAGTTAAAGTTGAGGGTACGCATGATGCATATATTTACTTAGAAGTATCACTTGTTCGGTGTGTATTCACTGTAAAATGTCACGTACAATAATGAATACAATAGATAACAGTTTCCCGAGGTAATGGGGAGCTTTAGTAGCAACGACGAATACGGCAGCCAAAACGTCACTTGTTGTTGTTTTATTATTTATTTATTTTATTGATTCATTTTTTTACGAACTTAGTAGCGATTATTCCGTTCGTGGCCAAATAGGAAATGCTGAGCTAATGGTTTATATCACTTACATTTGCTTAAATTGTCAAATGCAGGTGAATTTCCTTGGAAATGAATTCCTAGGGACCGAATGCAAGTTTTGAAGGACAAACGAAAACTCGTGGTCATGTGTGGAGTTACGACCTCCGTAAAACGTCGTACAAGGTAATTTAAGGTGGCTCGATAGGATTTTCCAGGGTCAATACCTCCCAAGGTATTGAAGTTGACGTCGTGTGGTGACGGCAAAGAAATATACAAAAAATCATGATGCAGAGTTCGAGTCACTGTTTTGCCTATTAACCTATTGCTTTTTTGACATGCTCTTTGCCACCGATGTTGTCATTAGCAAACCCCCCTAATGGCTTAGGCAGAACAGTTTTCAAAAGCCCCAAGTGTAAAAAGTCATAATCTTCAATAAATCTTCTGCAATTACCCATGCGTGAATCCTTTTGTCTTTGTATTGCTGGTACCTATTTCTTCATTTCAGGTAGTTTTTGATTAGTCGCCAAAAGGGGAACGTGACACAGCTCAAGCTTAAAAATTACTTTACCTTACACCAGCCGCCGTAAGGTGATATATCCTCAGTCGAGATCCCTCACTCAGTAGTTGCATTACCTCTTCGCTTGGTCGCCAAATACTCAATATGGCATCTGTGATTTGGACAAATATTAACCGTTTCACTTCTACAGCTAAATATGAGGCTGATAGAGGTAGCTTAAACATTGAAGCGAGGAAGAATCTGCTACTGACCATTTCAGTGAAAATGGTACGAGTTGTTTTTGAGTATTTCACGTAATGTGAGATTTGAATGCTTTTTTGTCACAAATTTACAAATACTCTTATGGTGTCTGATAATCAATTAATACTTCAAAGCCTTATATTCATTCTAAGTTCAATAAACACTTACTTTCTTTTGTACGGTATCTGTAGTCAGTAATCCAAACTTTCAGTAGAGGGACCACATTTCGTTTCAAGTGACACTGAGGGAAAACCAATTTAATATTATTATTACTATTATTATTATTATGATCATCATCATCATTTTCATTATCATTATTACTTGTTATTATTATTATTATTATTATTATTATTATTATTATTATAACTATCATTATACCAAAAATTATTATTGTTTATTTTCATTTTAATGTCATTACGTACGTAGTTTATTTACGTACCTATCACAAAGGAGTTTAAAGACAAACTCGTTGAAAAATACCCTTTTTCGTCTCTTAGAAATGTGCGATGAATCTCAACATTTAATAAGGACCAGTTACCTCTTCCTCCTGCTCTTGCCAAAATAGTTCAAACTTTCTCTGTAATTCAGCGCATTTCTTTTCCTGTATCAAGCGCTGGTATTCCTCCAGAGCGGTCACTTGGCGTTCATCGAGACATTCCTAAAAGAGAGGAAAGGGTTGTTTGCGATTACATTCGACGAAATCCCCCCCTCCGCCCCCTCCTCCACTTCCACCGCCACGTTCAAAAAGAGAAAGACGCTTGGGAACACAGAAAGTATCTAATAAAAATCAAGACCCTCTTGCAGTTAGTATCCATATAAAATGAAGTTCACGGTAGTTATAGGTCAGTCTCACACACCTTTACCGCGTCGGGGTCAGACGCACGTGTAAGAGCTTCGTAGATTTCCCTTCCGTCACTCAGCTGTCTTAAATCGCGGGATGAATAAGATCGACGACGAAATTTGGTTGTTCTTTGTGTCTCGATGTCTGAAATAAAAACAACAAAATAATAATAATAATAACAATAATAATAATAAACAATGGAAGTTACGCGACGAATTTATTCAAACTCAATGATATGGGCATCGCTTGTGAACATATATACCAATGAATAAGGAATAAAGAAGACAGTTTTAGGTTATTTCATAGAATTGCAGTCCACTCCAACGTATAAAGGGCACTTCCTTTAAAGAGATTTCTAGAGTTTTTGCCTTCCGTTCGTCAGTAAATTTATGTGACTGTCTTTAAGGGACCAACCGAACGTTAGCGCCAAGCGGTGTGGGTCTAAACGAAGGTTAAATAAGGTCACGGATTTTACTGAAAGTATCAAACCTGGCTGTCCTGATTCTCTTTCAAACTCCTCTTGTACCTGAAGAAAAAGCTTCTCACGTCGCTGTTGACGATCGGCTTCAAACCTTTTGGCTTCTCGCTCTTCGAGGCGAGAATTTCGAAAAACGTTTGTCCCGTCTGGCATCTTTTCCATCCACTACGAAAGAGGATAGAGCATATCAGAACGTAAAGAGTTTTTAAATAAAAACGCCAACCATGTAACTGAGAATGCTATTTAGCCTGCAAAGAAAGTCGTGCCCTGGGCTTGTGAATTTTGCTTTCGCAATCGGGCTGATGAATTCTAATCTTAACTTAACTTGCGCAATGGGTAAGTGAAGTTTTACATTGCATAGTAAGCTGTAAAACTGACTTTTTGTCGCCCTGCTACTGCCCATAACGAAAACAGTGTTTTCTTTTGGCTCTCTATGTTTTTCTTCAAAATAAATCGGTGGTTTTAAGTTCAAATAGCACATTTAAAACCAAATACATACATTTCTTGTCTGAATTTGTGTCGGAGGTAGTGCCCTTTGGTTGTATAAGTGGTTAACGAAAGAGCCACGAGTTAGTCCCTCACCTGAACAGGGTACTGTCTTAATACAATAACATCAATGCAGCCTGTAAATCCTCCATCACAAAATAAAGAGACCAGCGGTAATGGAAAAGCGCGCACGTGTCTATGAAAACCAAGCTTTGCATCCCAAAGAGCACGTCGGGTGGAATTAGCGTGGAGTCGAAGCATCAACGAGGGTGGAGCCTGGTACAAAAAAAGAAGGCATTTATCATGCAGATTATAGATTCAAACCTGTTTAACTGCTGATGATTTAGATGTTTTTCTGTGAGTGTTGCAAAAATATTCTTTTTCATTATTAACCTCACGGCCACGACAATGAGGATGCTTTCTGAAACACGACAAATTTCACCCATATCGATACAGGGAAACAGAAACATGCAAAATACATTATGTACTCTGTTAAATGACTGCCTTAAGACATTTTGTCTGCTTGTGAGAGGGGACCAAATGAGCTCCAACTAACCATTGGCCTGAAGGTAAAAAGAAAAATAATTTGAATTGTACTTTGCAGTAAGTTCTCAAACGGCGATTGCTCTCATTATGAACAGTTAACGACCACATACTACAAAAGTGTACCTCGAGCGGCGATACAGCTTGTTCTGATCCCACTAACTCCGCTCCATAAACACAAAGTTTTTGTCCCACAACAAGTTTTCCGTCGTTCAGCAATCTGGTGAGTGGCCTGTCCAGCAATGCACGAATGCTGTACCAGCCATCAGTCAACTCTATCACAGAAGAACTCTGAAAATAGAATAGACCAGTTTTAATTTAAAATAGGAAGAACTGTTCAGCTTTGATTCGAGCGGTCTCTCTCTTATTCTTGTGCCGAATTTGTTTGGATTGTCTTTTGATTGAACAGCTGAATTTCCCCGCAAACGCCAAAAAATCTATCAAGCACAGCTTGCACAGCACATTTAAAAACTTGTCTCTTAGTTTAGTTTGCTTTGCTTTATATGTCGTCCATTGAAGAGAAAAAAATTTCCAGGAAATAATACCTAAGGTATTTCATTCAGCTTTTGACAGAACGTTCCCCTTCAACAACACGTTACTTGAAACAAATCGAGCTACATTCTTTATTCTATTCCTGTAAATGTGTACAAGTGTAGCTATTGCTTTAGATTATCTTACACTTATAAAACATTTTTTTGTATTTTCTCCTGGAGATAGAACCTCCGATAGCACGTACATACAGAGCACAACAGATGAAAAGGTTGTGACAAAATATGTTAACATATATGTTGTAGTTTATTTTTTTTGTTTCAGTTAATTTTTATTTTTCCATTGTTTTTTGGTATGGTAATGTATGCTAATGAATTTACAAACAAAGGAA